GCTTACACACTGTCTCTGGCTACGTCTGCCCTTGGCGGAGCAGAGAGGAAATACCACAGAGGCCGTGCCACTGCAGGTTGAGGACATTTGCCATCTGGTCTGCTCTACAGAGTTTGCTGACCATGGCTCCAACACCACAGTGGCCAGGAGCAGTTGCCTTGCCTTGAGTGTCAGGGAACCGTGGGAGGGCAGGAGGGAGGTGAGAAGTGGGTGAACCTGGCGCAGATGTTAGGAGAGTACTGGTCAGGGCTAATGGAAATGTGCAACTGAAACAGAACACTACACATTTCTGTTTCTGTTACTTTTCCTATTACTTAAAATAGCTTTTTTCATTGTAGATGTGTAAGTGGAAATAGGAATTTTGCTTCAAATAGACCCAGGTTTTAAAAGATTCGTGTGGGCTAGCCTGGGAACCTAGCTACTACATATAGCAGTTTTATTTAAAAAGTGCATTCCAAGGCCAGGTGTGGAGGTACATATCTATAATCTCAGCATTAGGGAGGCAGAGGCAGTAGGATCTGGAGTTCAAGGCCAGCCTGGACTGTATAGTGAGACCCTATCTCAAAAAAGCTAAAGACAGGAAAAAAAAAGAAAAACAAAGCACTCCAGTTCAAAAGGAACACCTTCCAAATGACACAGAACACCTCTCACGGTGAGCTGGCAGCACTGCACTTACTCTGAGAGCCTCCTGGGCACCTGGGGCGACAGCACACAACTGATGTTACAGACCTGCAGAGCCCAGTTCAGATTCTTACACCCTAGAGGATGTGGTGGCCAGCCCTGGATCCTACTACCACACTGCTGGTCCTCAAGGGAGCAGCTGGCCAAAGCCTCAGAGAACCACCTGATTTGCAATTAGGAAGAACCAAAGTGGCAGCTGAGCCTCTCTAGGACTGGCAGGCAGTCTCTCTGGGTTCATGCTGGCACCCAGTGTCGGGGCTGCTCCCCTCATGCCAGCTACAAGGAGAAATGCTCGCAATGATACATGACATAAGGGAGAATGCAAACTCTGGGACAGAGAACTCACAGTATAAGTGGGAAAATTACTGAGCCGAGCATCAGTGGAAACCTTATCTTTCAAAACTCCAGGGATGCAGACAGGTGGTCCTGTGCGCAGGTTTACACACTCACGTTAGGAGGAAGGTAGATCCAAAGTTAATGCGTTATTTTTATTTCCACTTCAGAGATGAAAAAGAGCAAGGCAGTAAACCCAACAAAGTAGAAAGAAAGATAAGAAATTAGTGGATAAAAGTAAAGATGTAATAATGAAGAAACTAACAGCAAAAGTTAGAATTTGGAGACACATGACAAACTGAAAGTCTGTAAGATGAATCAAGAGAAAGAAGAAAAGCAAGTGATCAGTCACAGGAGTAAAGGCAGACATACCAAAGAGACAACAGAGAGCAGATTGTGAAGCTGACCCAAAAACAAGCAATGTAAATAACCTATAGTCATCAAAAAAATGGAGTAAGGGGCTTGGGGCGTAACTCAGTGGCAGAACCCTTGCCTAGCCTGTGCCAGGCCTTGGGTTCCACTGCCAGCATCCCCACCTCCAAGAGATGAAGTAAGGAACTGAAACCTATCCACAGAAATCTCACTAAGCCCAGTTTTCCCCCCAGTCAGTTTTTGAGGCAGATGCTAACCAGACACCCAATAATCGTTGTGTTGTAGAATTATTCTAGAAGACAGAAAATGAGGGCATGCTCCACAGCCAAGTCTATGAGGCCAGTACAAAACATGGTATCTAAACTAGGTGAGGGAAGTACAAGATAAAAACAACTGCAGGCCAAATTCACTCCTGAGTAGAGATAAGCAAAGTTCTAAATAAAATATTTATGAATTTAATGCAACAACGTTAAAGGAAATTACCAAATTGGGTTTACCCTGAAATGCAAGGACAGTTTAACAGCAAATCCTACTTATAATTCACCACCACACTAATAAAGACTCCAAACACAGTACCACATCAAAACGTGTGGAAAAGATTCAGTGGAATGCATTTCATTTAGGAAGACATCTTAACCCAATGGAACAGAATGGGGAATTCCACTTACAAAAAGAGTCTTGACTAGCTAGAATTTCTACAAACTGAAAAAAAACCTGTAGCAAACATCACATTTACAGGTGAACAGAAAAGTTTCTTTCTTTCAGAAATGGGACAAGGATATCTACTTGCATTCTTTTTTTTCCGTCAACAAATGGTTAACAACCAAAAAATAGATATAATTTAAAATGTAAGTACTTTGGCCGGGTGTAGTGGTGTGCACCTGTGGTCTCAGCTACATGGGAGGCTGAGGCAGAAGGATTAATTGGGGCCAGGATATTGAGACCAGTCCCGGCAACATAGCAAGACCCCATATTAGAACAAATAAGCCCTAAGGAACCTTGGATGAAATGACCGAGACGTTTATGCAGAGAGTTATAAACTGCCGAGTCAGGAGGGATGTTAGTAAAGGGAAAGACCCCTGTGCAGAGACAGGGGACTTGGCATTGCCAAGACACCTGCTGTCTGAAGGGAATCTATCAATTCAACGTGATTCCAAACAACATGCCACGAGGCTGTGGAAACAGATGAGCTGATGATGACAACATCTACTCAGCAGGTAAGAGTATTAAGACAGCCAAGACAATTGTGAAGAAAAAAAAAAACAAGTTAAGAACTTGGTTCTGCTCAGTCAAAGGAAAGAGGCCGCTGGGGCAGAATGGGTCTATGATGACACGGAGACCTCAAGGAGGGTCAGAGGACGAGAAGCACAAGGGACAGCTGGTGAAGCCTGCGGTAAAGGCAGAGTCAAGTCCCCACCTTACCACAGACACAACTCTTGATTCAAGATGTGTGAGTTCAGAAGAAAACATGGGAGACTGTCTTTCAGAACCGAAGGAAGGAAAAATTCAAGGTACAAAAACACAAGAGGCAGAAATTGTAAAGAAAAAGATAAATTAAAATGTAAAAGTTGAGTGGTGCCAAAGACATCATAAATAAAGTCACAGATTAGGAGTCATATTCTCTATGGTATATTTGACCACAAATTAGTATCCAAAATTGTGCTGTACTCCTACAAATTAATAAGAGAAAGATAAATAATAAGGGGAAAATTTGTAGGCATCTGACATACAATTTATAGAAGAGACAGAAAAGGTCCATATCCATGGGCCACACTGCCACAAAGGGAAATGCAGGTTAATCCCACAAGGAGACACCATTTGCTTCTATCAGACAGGAAAAGCACCTGTTTGAACCAAGGACAGGTGGGATGTGGGGCAACTCTGGGAAAATATCCTCATTAGACCAAACCTGGAGCATTCCTAGGTGAGGCTAGCAAAGCTGGGGAGGCACTCTCTGGTGCAGCCCTCGCTCCTGGTGGTCAAGTGAGGGCAATGCTATGTCTGGACGCAGCACCCTGATTACAGCTCCCACTGACACCTACTGAGCACCTGCCATGTGCCGTTACGGAGGTGGGCATGCTGCGAGACAGCATTGAACCGAATAAATGGCAAATATGGAATAAGTCTGGTGGCACAAAGTTCTCAGGAGAGAAATACAGCAGCAACAGGGGATGGAGAATCAGAGGTGGACTCTAGATTAAGGGTGGGCTGGGAAGGTTTCTACGGAGAGGCCACCGCCATCTGACCATAAGTCTGAGAACCTGAGGACCACGAGCTATCTGAGACAGGTGCTGAGGCTTGGAGGTATGAGAGGGGCCCAAGAACCAGGAGCCCAGCAGAGCCAGGATGCAGTGAGGAGAGGGACAGGGTGTTGGACAGGACCCCAGGTGTTGGGGGACCAAATCCTGAGCTTGCTTATAAAGAAAGGAGAGAAAAGAAGGATGTTAGAGCTAGTCTTACCAGTCACCAACAGCATATCAGATAATTAAATTGTGGCAGACTGTGGAAGTGAATAAACAAAATTTTGCCGACTCCCAAGGATAAATACAAACAAAGGTGGAGTACAAGAGACAGGCTGAGGCCATGTGTCCTATAGAGGTATTCATGTGATGCTAGAGACCTCTAAGAAGGCAATGTATGCCCACCTGGGGTATATGGACAAGAAGTGTTTGTGACAGTGGGACTGGGTGTGTCTAAGGGAAAGGGGTGGGCTTGAATTTTGTAATTCCCTAGATTGGAAACATAACAAACACATAGGAGTTTCTTATATTGGTAGTCTCCAACAGTGTTTGTGTGCTCACATGCTTCTTAGAAATGAAGTCTGGAAGCCTGAAAACCACTCTGGTGGTCAGAGCAAGAGAGTAAGAGGCTGACCAGGCAGGACCTAAATTTGATGCCAGTAATCTGAAGATGAACAGATTCACACAGTGAGAAAATACAAGAAACTCCTATTTCCTGCTTCATGTTGGCAGAACCCAGGAACGTGCCATTTATGGCAGAATGAGAGACTCAATCTGGCCCTTGAACTCCAATTTCCTGCCAATTAAGGGCCAAACTGCTGGACTGAGTGCAGGTTCTGGAGGCAGGTACGAAGAGGCCTTCGAGGGGAGGATGCTCTCTGCCTTACGCAGCAGGTGCCGTCTCTCTGGGGCTGCCTGCGTGTGCAGGATGCCGGTAGTGTTTTGGCCTCTGCTCAGACCCAAGTCTGCTCCAGTTGTGGCAACCAGCATGTCTCCTGTGGGTAAAATCACCCCCAGCTGGGAACCAGTGCTCTACCTTGCCAGAGTCTGGCATGTGAGGGATGCTTGTCTGGCTCACAGAGACAGATGGTTGCTTCTGGCAGCCTTGCTGTACGACAAACCCAACTAATTCAAGTATCCCTGGGCCAGTGCATAAAATACCATCATATCAGAGGTGATCTCAACTTTCCTGTATCCCACAGCCAAATGTTCTCTCTGCTTCTTCATGTTCTGCTAAGTTTTATTCCTTCTTGTCCATCTGAGAGAGTTTTGGCCCATTTGCCTGACCCAGATGAAAGCTGATGCTATTCTGAGGAGTACAACACAGCCTTGGCACAGGAAGACATGCGAGCAGCAGGAAGGAGAGCGACTCACCTATGAGGGAGTTGAGGGCCGAGTAGGAGCTGACGCGACGCATCTTGTCGATGGTCTCGAAGGACAGGATGTACTCCTCGTTCTCAGGGCTACCGAGCGTGCTGCTGGCGCTGCTGCTGGTACTGAGGTTCCCAGGGGAGAACGCCACTGAGCTGCCGGCTGGCCGGGACACAGCAAGCAGCAAAGTTAGTGCCTGGCACCCTTCTTTTGATCTTACAGTTAATGGCCTGCCTGACTGAAATGTGAACTTTCTTTCTAGAAGAAGAAAGCTCACCACATATACTGACACTTATCTGCACTGATACTGGGCACATGCATGCACTTTGACACATACATGCAGACATACACGCACATGTGCGTCACCAGACGCTGCACACAGATGACAGACAAGTGTGTATATGCATGCTGATACACATGTGTGCACACACTAACGCATCTCCCCATCCATTTACTCTGGAACAGATCTGAAGGTGGCCAGAAAAGCCAGGACAGAAGCCCACTGTGCCTGGCTGGGCTGGCTTCTCTCAGCATATTTGGTAGGTGTACCCCTGCTATTCTAGATGCTATGCTAGGGTCTTTGCTATGCCTTGTCTAGAAGGAGGATGCCAGACCCACAAGTCACCATGACAGCCGATGAGACATTGGGGCTCATATTCGTGGCCGGGAAGGAGGAAGGTGCAGAGTGGCACTTGTTTAGGTAAATGTCTCCTAACAGCACCCCAAATCCTCTCAACCCGGTATCTTACATTCTTCCGTCAAGCTCAGATTCTGCAAAGATTTGTTCAGGCTCCTAGCTGTAGTGACGGCTCGGATGTTCCCATAGGAGCTCACAGAACGGAGTCTGGGAGTGCATGGGCTGTCTCGCACTGGGGTCAAACTCCCCCCCTCTAGGAAAGAAGGGAGGCAATGATGAGGTTCAGGATGGGAGGACAGTGCATCTCAAGTCTGCAGCTACGGAGGCAGAGAGAGAAGCTGTCATCAGGACAAGAATGAAGGCAGAGGAAAGGACCTGCAGCTTCATAAGAATCCTATATCAGTGTGGGACCCAGATGTACAAAGCTGGACAAAAGAACAACTGACTGCTCACCATTTTGTGTCCCTTAAATTACAAAAGGCAGTATGGAGGGCTGGGAGTATGGCTCAAATGATAGAGTGCCTGCCTAGTAAGTGCAAGGCCTGAGTTCAAATCCCAGTGTCATTAAGAAAAGATACAGAACAGGATGCCAACTGTGGCTTCTGAGTCACAAGAGGTACTCAGGAGCTATGGGCCACCATCCTGGGAATGACAACAGGGTCTGGGCAGGACTCATGCTGCTGGTGACCACCCCTCCATCTCATCTCACTGGCTTCTTTCATCCAGCAAGTTCAGCCTTTGCTTCCTCCTTGATTGACTGAAAGTGGGAATGCTTTGTTATCGATCACGAGTCTCCTCCTATGATCTGGGAGGAAATGTAAATGTAAAAGATGACTGTATTCTCCAGCGAAAAGGGCAAATGTGAGAAGAGGCACTTCCTAACATGACTCATGGCGACATGGAACCGACAACAATGTGATCGAATTATTCATCACGGGAAGATGGCTTATGTTTTTTTCTGTAAGCCCCTCTTGCAGAGGTTTTGCCGTCCTTAAAGATTTCCACAAATTTGAATTCCAAAAAGGGAAAAAAGGAAGGAAAAGAGTAGGAGGGTCAGTATGGCACCTTTTCCTGTCTTATACAATGGGAACACTAGGGACCACCCAAAGCAGGTACAAGAAACCTTAGCTCAGACTTGGCCCAACAGAGTGACTCCTGACAGTTGTGGTGAAGGCCAGGAATATGGTCCCAGCCTCCCAGGAATTGCTGTACCTGTGGCTGCTGGAGAGGGCAAGGGGTAGTTCTTTTCCTCTTCCATGAACTGCAGGGCCACGGTGCAGAAATTGCTCTCATACTGAACCACAAGGTGACTCAGAGCCACCACAAGCTCCTGTTGAGAGGGAGAAGGGACAATTACATTCACAGGGTTGGAAACAGATTGGACAGCAGACCTGCAAGCTAACACCTAAGTCACCAGTAGGAAGCAGGATGTCAGAGTGACACTGCAGAGGCACCAGAAATCAGAGCTGAGGCCTGGGTTCAGGCAGTGTGTGCAAAGGAATGCCCTGTACACCTGACTGCTAGGTAGGAGTGACACAACTTGAGGTGTTCTGAAGCTATGGTATGACTCAGTGTCTCTAGAGCAGGCCAGGTACAAGATGTCAGGCTCTCCTCTATGGCTAATCCTGTGACCCTGGCCAAAAATGCCTCTCTAAGGTTGTCCTGGTGGTCTGGAGGGACAGACTAAAGCAGGACACGTCTGATAAGCTGAAGTATGTCTTTTTAGCAAATGCAAAACTTTCATAGCTGTATTACCTTCTAGTCCCTAAGAGGGAATGAGAAAAATCCTAGAATTAAAACATGATCTCTGGTCCAAACACCTCGGTCCAAGGAAATGGCCACAATTTACACCTCTTTTAGGACAGTTAGTGCTGTAACATGAGTGCTTACAGATTTGCAAAGTCATAGACAAACAGAACGGAACATGTAGGCTTATAAAAATGCATACTTCCCCCATGCTATTTGAATAGTTCCAACAATTTTATCTGCTTTTTAATTTCTTTTTAAAAAAAGAAAGCAGAAAGTCAAGATCTTCAAGAGAGCCTGTTCCTGCAATGCAAAGCTCTTGGCCCCCAGGGCTGGGAGACTTCTGCTGAGATGCTGAGGTTTTCATGTAGGTGAGACCAACTGGGCTCTGTGTAGGTGCCCCCAGGTCCTCTCACAGACAACCCCTCCTTTTGTTTGATGCTTTCTCCCACCTCAACTGCACCCTCTTCTTGGCCCTCCACCATCCCATTTTGAATGGCTCCCCGATAGCCCCCTATCTTGTCAAGCTCCAGGCTGGTCTTTCCAACTGTTGGCTCTGCAGCACGGCCTGAGTGCTCCCCTGAGCCCCAGACTCATTCTGCTGTGTGCCGGCTCCACTGTGCTCCATTCAGACCTACCAGTGACCTTGCAGCTGAACCCAGGGAACCGCAGATCTCACGGCTTAGTTAGAGCCTTGGCACTGTCTTGCACTCACCCCTTCCCACCCCACTGGGTGTTGAGGTGACCACGCTGCAGGTGAGAGCCATCAAGTCCCTTCATGGCCAATGCCAACACCCTGTGTTTAGTACTCATCTCCAGCTTCCTGAATCACAGTCACAATCTCCTCAGGCAAATCCCTGAGCCTACCTGGCTTTACCTACACAAGGAAATGAAATGACCCCTAGACAGACCCTCTAACAAGCCAGCACTCACAGGCCCTCCCAGGGAAGGTGAAGTCTGCCTCATCTTTATAGAGCTTCAATTTCCCCTCACTGAGGCAAAGCGAAAAAAGCTAATTCTAGCCCCAAACTGATTGATTCACACCAAGGGTCTCAGTCCTTTGGTTCACAAAAGGCCATCAAGGGTGAACCCAGCATTTGAGAGTATGGCTCCCACCCAGAGCGATTGCTATTGGAGGAGCTGACATGTGACAAAGGCTCTCTGCTCCTAAATCGAGCTTCATTCTCACAACAAAGCAAATGTACCAACGCTGAGGGTCTCTGGTAAAGAGACACCTGTGCCAGCCTGCTTAGGCACGTTCCTGTACAAGCTGGTCATTACTGGTGTCGGCCTGCACAGACATGGTCCTGTGCCCCTGCCTGTCTACTGCTGTACAGGTGGGAACCACTTTGGTGGTTATAGGCTTTCACACTTGCTGGGCTCCTGTGGTCTGGGATGGATTATTTATCAGAGATACTGTCCATTTTCTGGACTTACTCAGCAGACGATCTGTGTACTCCAGGTGGCCCTGAACAACCAATGAGTTGCACCTTCAACCTGTCTACCCACAGCTGTGCACAGGCCAGGAAAGCTGCTCAAACCAAAATCCTGAGGTTGTGCTCGTCTTCTTTACGAACCCCCTACAGAAGCTGTAAGCAGCCTCTTTCCAAGCATATGCACGTTGACTCTGCCCTGTCCTTGGAACCCCAGGCAGCTATGTCCTTCACCAGGGTGACTGAGCAGCCAGACGGGTTGAGATACTGCCCTCCTCCAATCTCTCAGGTCACAAAGAACAAAGCAAGGCCTGGCACACCAAGGTGGTCATTGTCTTGGCTACCCATATCCACGCCCTCCACTGCAGCATGGCCCCGCTCTGGCTTTACATGTACTGTCCCCTCTGCCTTGGACAGGCCTCTGTCTTGGACAGGGCTCTGTCTCAGGCTCAGGCTCCCACTTTGCTCAGCCCTCAGGACAATTTCCTGAGAGAAAAGTCAGGTTTAGGCCATGGGTGGGTCATCAAGGCCCGGATAGGCCTGGCCCACAGTATTTGCTTAACAAGCATTTGCCAAATGCACTGAGCTTTGCCCTTTAGATATGTCATAATCCTTAACACACACCCCAAGGGGAGATCTGAGTCAATGTTCCTCTGTGCTGACAACAGAGATGGAGTTGGGAATCAAACTGTCCATCTACCCAATTCCTCCCCTTGTGTGTCTCCCCCCCAGGGCTGCCCCCACCGAGTGTTTCCAACAGTTACTTGTTAAGATTTGTTTTGTGGCCAACGGTCATATAGCATAAAACTCCATAACCACCAAGGCTAGAGCAGCATCCCAGGGAAGAATATCTTTTGTGTCAAGTGTGAACTCCTTGTGGGACTTGCTCCTGGAAGATGGAGCTCTGGGTGTCAGCAGCTCAGCTGTGTGTCCTCCGTCATGGTCCCCAGCAGGCCCTGAATACAGGTGCCCATAGGAACAACCTCGAGACTTTCCATTAGTTTCAATTTGAGTAAAACACATAGCTGAAGAAGGTGGATGGCTGGGGGCTGCTCGATGGAGCAGAATGGACCTCTGTGGGTTTGTGCTTACCAAATACAAACAAAGTAAATAAAGTATCTAAACAGTCCCTAAGGCCAAGGACAGCAAATGAGCTCAAGCAAAGGACCTGGGGCGGGGGGCACATGCTGTACTCCTAGCCAGTCCCCCTCAATGCAGCAGGGAGGGTTGCTGATTGGCAGTGTACAGATTTTGTACTTCATGGATAGGGTCAAGTTCAAAATAATGCCCCGAATTTGCTGACTTTCTAATTTGGTCAAGGAAGCTCATTAAGCAGGTCAACAAACAAAACCCTACCCTGCTATTATTGTCCCTCTTGTAGGAAAGGGGACTTCCACTGCTGAAGTAGAACAGATGCGACCCCTGCCATGTCCAATGCCAGTTGCCTATGAGTCAGTGGCTGCTTCAAGAGCAGCAGAACTTGCATGCCAAGCCCAGGAACAGATGAACAAGTGGAGAGAAGGACCTTTCCAGTATGCCAGAGTGGGTCATTCCTGGTTGGCAGCATGTAAATGCTCCTAAGCATCTCAGGACCTGATGACGTTTGGCGTGAGCTCTGCAGGCCGTGAGCACCACACTGTCCACAATAGAGAGGTGAGCACCACGAGCCAGGACCCTAGTGTTTAGAACCTGAGGCGTATCTTAAAAGGGACAGTGAGGGGTCAGAACCAGAGTGGACACCAAGGCTCACATTAAGGGCCTCTGGAAGCACCCGAGGGCTCAGCAGCTCGGTGACCCCGTGATCCTGAGGCCCTCAGAGACTACTCTCTTGACACTGGGAACTTGTTAGCATTTCAATGAACATCTTTTCTGATTCTAAATTGTTTTTAGAA